GCTCCAGTTGTACAACTATACTGCTCTGATTATAAAACACACGTGCACACAAATACACCCCTGTGTGTGTGTTAATGACTGTATATGGACGCACATGCATACATATACATATGCGCACACTATATAGACAAATACCCACATGCTTGACCCTGGTTAGTGTGTTGGAGTCCTTACTATGTCACCAGTGAACAGACCTTCTCAGTTACAGCAAGGTTTACTATGGAATAGAAAGGAGTTAAGGAGACCAGATAGCTGGCCTTGGGAGTGTAGGGATGAAACTTCTCACCACTTGGCTAAGCAATAATACTTGATGTTCCTACAAATTTACATCATGGTTAAACAGAATGTTCTAAAACCCTGATTGTGCTGTTAAATTCTGTAAGAACCCTGATCTATGAGGAAGAGTTCTGGTGTTACAAATCATTATTCATTTAAAATAATTGGACATCATTTTGACTTCAGAATATTTCTTCAGTTTAAGTCTTGCACTTACTCAAGTGTGCTGCAGTACATTGGCTAGTTTGTTCTGTTTCATATGCGAGGAAATATTAGGATTCCTTTCAACATATAGGAAAGCTTGAACCTATCTTCAGAAGAAATACAGCCCTTTAAGGAAAGCTCAGTATTAGTCTATTAAAAAACACATATATATAGAAAACTTCCTAATGTAAGTCTCAGATCAGTGATTTTTTTAACCTCATTGTATGCTTATGTTAAGATGTATATTGTATTGTAACGTATATTGTATGCTTATGTTAAGAACCGAAACTTGCCATTTTGCTAAGATCAGTGACTGCTTGGGCTATCTACACATCCCTTCTGATTGTATAAACTGGTTTTATGGATCATCATAGAAATGAACCCACCTGTTTTTTTCACATCAGTGTCTTTATATTTAGTTTTCAGAACTAAATATATATATGTATATATTTTGTTTCTTCCCTTTTTTTCCTTTGATTGTTTTTATCCTGTTTCACATTATTTGCCGTAATTATGTAAAGGTAAAAATTTGTAAATGTGTACTCCAAGTTTTAGCTACTTTTTGTATTGTATGTTAAGCGAGTTTTCCTCTTCTGTCCAGACACACTCATCCATTCAAAGGCATACATACACATGGTCTCCAAAACTGTTAAACAAAACCCTTTCAAATTTCATGTGCTTATTTTTAGAAAGGTGTTCTGTTTTTCAGAGAAGGAATAGTTCTCCTCTTTGGAGAAGGAATACTTTCCTAATATGGTCTGAGTGGGATATTTGTCCATATATGCATTAATGGTTGGTGTTAAAATCTTAGTTTGACTTTACAGTGAGGCTACATTATAGTTGTTTGTTGCTTTTGTTTGCTTGGAATTTAGCGGGGAGGGAAGAGACTTTCAAGTGTTCTTTCAGTTGAAGAGCTGGTGTCATTTTGTCGTTATTTTTCTTTTTTAAAAAAAAAAAAAGGGGCAAAGAGGAAAAATGAAAAGCCAGGGCTTGATTCATGTAAATCTAAAATAAAACCATTTTAGTTCTAATGTGTTAAGGATGATGGCGTCTTCTCCACGGTGAGGTGACTGCTTATGGCTGCGTTTGGGTCCAATTTGCAGTTTATTTAAGTTCACTAAGAAACCAGAATTTATATGATAACACTAAGAGGAAGAAGAGTCATGTTTAAAAAAGTCATATTCAAGTTCAGTTTTACAGTATGGAGTCAAAAAGGCAAAATATTACATCGTATTTTGAAGCAATTTCCAGCTACAACAGGAGTTAACCAGCCCAGGTCACACTGTGTGAGGCACTTGGGGACATCTTTGCTTGCTGAGGTAGTAAGTCTGGATCCAACATCATCGGAGGAGTATGGCCAAAAAAATCATCCTCCACCAACTTCTGAGACTGGCATCTCCCCCTGCGGGTCCCCAAAGCTCCTACCCCCGGCTCTGTTCAGGGGCTGCCCGCAGGCCCGGGCAGCGGCTGCGCTCGTAGCCCCCGGACACACTGCGCCCTCGCACCAGCCCCACAAAGAGGATTCGTTACTTGGGTCCTGCGCTGAGCAGGAACACCCTAGTTGGGAGACAGCAGTTCTTCAAGGTCATGTAAAAATCTGTCAACTTGTGTTATTTTCCCTGAAAGGCAGAGTTAAGTTGTGCCTAATGAAGACGTCAAAACCATTTGAACTGCAAAAGATTTTTTTTAAGTCTTAAATTGTCTTTATAGTAACATTTTCACTCAGGTGGGAAGGATTCTGCTGTACTGCAGTCCATATCCTCTTAGAAATTGCGCACAGTAGTTGTTCCGAAACTTTTTTAGACAAGTAGCTGCCTACAAAGCTGTTCTGCTGGCATGCAAGAGCTGCCTGTGGCAATGCCTGAGCTCTGGCCTTCGTTATGAAGGAGTTCAGACCAGCCATGAGGTTCCTCGCTAATCTAATCTCCACAGGACAGGATAGGGCTGCTCTTCCTCTTCATCCACTTCATCCAACTGGAGCATTTTCCATATCGATGATACTTGGTTCAAAAGAAATCCCTGTTTTCTGTTACTATCAGGCAGTATGGGCCAGCAGGGGAAATACTGGTAGACATGGTGCAATTCCCAGGTCTGCCTGACCTTTTGGATGAACTAGGCAGATGCCTTCTGTTTGCTTTTGAGCTCTCTCTGTCAACTTTGTTCTGCATAATGAAGCTGCCTTAGGCAGAGACTGTTTCATAGAATCATTTTGGGAAATGTACTAGACAATAGGACCCCAAGCACCGTTGGAGCCATCTGGGTGCCACTGAAATGCAGATAATAAATCATCTTCAAGTTAAGGCTTAAATTTCCAAGTCCTCTTGAATTGGGATTAACCTATTCTAACTCGGATCTTACTGAAAATTTTGATTAACTTACTCAATTGCAGAATCTTGTGCACATTTAGTTGTCTTTCACCATTAAAATAGTACTTACAGAATTTTATTTTTTGTGGTTTGATTCAGGTAGTAAGATTGTCTCTGATCCAGGCATTTGTTGTTTGAATAATTAACATGTTATTCTAGAAGAAAATGAAGGCTATTTTCCGTATATTATTCTGCATGCTGTTAGTAAACAAGTCTAAGGTGTGTTCATTGTCTGGGTGTGTTAGTTGGAATAGTTGTGATGCTTAATGAAACAACTTATTTCGGAATAAGTCATCTGTTCACTCCCTTTAAAATGCATAATCCCACTTCATTATGAATATTAATTTTTTAACAATTTTTTAATATCTCCAATTGGCTTATATTTCTGCAATGAGCTGTGGTGCATATTCTTCAGTATATATTTCATGTGTGTGGTGGAATTCTAGTAATTTGCTTATAGTTATACTTTTAAAAAATTGTGTTATCTAAGACTTTTGTAGAGCAGATCAGTGAAGTTAGCAGAATTAATTGAAACACTTCTATCACTTAAAAATTGCATTTGTGACAACAGATTGAAAAAGTGCAGCCACTGTGCGCTAGTTCATTTTAATGTATTCTGTTTTATGTACTGCCATTAGAGAAAATGCTTGGTTTCTAACAAAGAACATGCTAGTCTTATGATCCAGTGTACAAATCTTGATCTGTAGTTCACTTTTAAATACTCATTGTTTTCAGAAGTTCCTTGTGGATGTAGTGTAGAAATACTCAGTTGTATTAACTAGTAAGTGTCAGGAGTCTTGCTGCTTTGTCGTGTGCTGTTTGGAGGAGTAATCACATCTTCATTCTGGGCTGCTTGCAGTTAAAGCTGTCATTGTCCCTTCAGATTTGAATAATAAATATTATCATCCCTTACGATGCTATAATGACCTGATCTAACTTCTAAAATACTGTAAATACTCCTTATTCTTTTTAAATACACAATCACCATAAATAATGTTACTTTTTCTCACCATTGAGTGTTTTGCTGCCTATTACTAGATTATCTTCTTCATCCTCCTTGTTACCAGCAAGGATGTGAAGAGGACTTCTACTCACTGGCAAAGCTGAACTTTCTGCAGTCCTCCATTCAGCTTATATACTTCATCTGTGGAAAAGCATTTAACTAAAATTTATAGCTGTTTTACTCAACAGTACTAGTTTGCCAGAAGTTTTTCCTGTGAAACTCAATAGGAACTAATATTTGTTTATATAGAGAGACTTTATATAGCTTTTTCTTGTGTAAGGACATAGGTACAATGTGAAAGCTAATCAGAAATGTATAAAATCTATATAAATTTAAACTTTACAGGTTGTCTTTGGCTAAGTAAAGAAGCGTTAAGCCTCTAATTTTTGTAAATACTGCGTTAAATAATAGAAGAGACTCAGATATTTCTTTAAACCTTTTGGGGTGAATAAAAATACAGGTTTGCTGTGCAGGATGAAATGAGGGAAGCTTTTAGAAAATGTGAGAGATAACAGTACATCTTTGGCATCCTCTAATTGTCTCAAAAAGTGCTCAATGTGTAGGATGAACTGAAGTAGAGATTTATCCAGTTATTTCCTGATCATGTTGTATCTGACATCTGCTCTGGTGGAGGACCTAGAAAATTTGCAGAATTTAAACTGCAAGAGCAGCTCTACTGAAGAGTAGGGATGAGATCAGCTTTACTGAGGAGTAACACCAGCAATGAGATTTCATCTTGTTTGTGTTTTTCATAGAGATTAGAAAAAATAAGGTATAAAAGTGAGCAGAAACATTCAATTGTACAAAGTTCTGATATAATCATAGTGAGATAATTTCTACATAAGGAATTACTTCTTGAGAACAGTGAATTTTCTAAAGATTATTTGTCTCTGCTTGCTGACTTGCAATTGTATTAAATATTTGCTTTAAAAAATCCATATGCAGATAAATGTAGCAGAACTTCCAAGCTGTTGTGTACTTCTTATGACAAATGCATACTATGCCTAGCTTTTGTTTTCTGCATAAAAAGCTATTTGCAGGCTTTCTGGGAAGCTCTGCCTGCTTGACTTTCATATTAGGCACTTCAGAAAGTAAGAATACCTGAAATGTTCCAATAAATCTTTATAATACTTTTTTTTTTCTTTTTGTAGATCATTTCAAGTGACCCATTCTGGGTACCAACCACTGAGGAAGAGTATTTGCACTTTGGAGAAAAGGCAGATTCCGAGAACCAGGCCCGCAAGTACATGAATGCAGTAAGAAAGCGAAAGGGACTTTATGTAGAAGAAAAAATTGTGGAGCATGCTGAGAAGCAAAGAACTCTCAGTAGAAATAAGTAGCTGCGTCTGCTTTCGGTTCTCTCCTGACTCAGCTAAGTGCGGGTGGATTATTTTCTATGCAGTAGTTTCAAAATTTCTTCTGGATTGTTCTTTCACACCAGTTTTCTTAAACACTGTAAAGTCTGTGGCTTATGTTTTAATAAACCTAAGCCTTTCCAACTTTTCTACAGAGAAATGGTTTATTTATTAAGTAAAAGATAGGAAGAGATTCTTTGGAATTGGTCTTTTACATTTTCTGCCATATTTTTGTCACAGGTGAGGAAATCCTAACTTTTCTTTCTGATTTATCAGATGAAATCGATTAGAACTTGTTAGCTAGTCTGTTGCAAATAAACTATGCAATGAATTTAGCTGCCTAGTGTTTTTGATTCTCCTTTAAATCGATTTAGTTTTTTATAACGTATTTGTTGCTCAAGTCTTTTTCATTGCTATTTATATGTAAGTAGTCATAAGGCTATGAGAAGTTTGTAAACTGTTTCTTTCAATATATTCCTTATATAAACAGTCATCTAAATCACGTGGTACTTTTTCTGCTCCCAGGTTGTCTTTTTTTTTTTAATCAGAAAACAAATACATAGCACACGTGGAAGATGTGCTGAGAAGCGGGCAAGGTTTGTTTTTCTTTCCTGTCTTTAGAATGCATCTTAGAGGAAAAAAAAATTAAAAATAAGTCATATGATTATCATGAGATAGAACCTGATGTTTTTGAAGTGGGCACATAACTACCCCTGCCGCTCCCATTTGCTTGAGTGTTTACCAAGACTCTTTCAGAAAAAGAAATTTCTGCCAATTCAGCCTGTTGGCTTGAATCCAATGAAGGTGAACATTTTCAAAAATATATGAAATATTTTGCTGTTGGCAGGAGTCTGGGATGCAACAGGCTCCAAAACTGAGACTAACAGGAAAATATCTTCAGAGCATGTTACGTTACAGATGAGCATAATGGAAACTTTGAACGGGCAAGGAGAAACGTGATGTATAAACTGTCTGTGCATTTGGCTGTTGAGTGCTTAGAATAATAAAAGGGAAGGATTTGAATTGGACATTCAAGAAGGTTAATCTGACTAAGAGGCTACGTGTCCTTGAAGGGTTTCTGATATTTAGTTAAATTAAAGGGAAATAAGTTATTGAATCTTGTGCCAACTGACTTTCTGTTACTTTTTCTCTTTGCTTTTGGGAGAGTTCTGTTTCAGATATTTTTTTTCCAAGCATATAACTACTTCTTCAATTTTTTTATTGCCTTTTACTGTCCACTAGCAGCTATTTGTTTTTTTCCAAATACTTTTGTGTGTGTGTTAGTGAGCAGCAGGCAGAATTTATTTTTGCCCCTTCTCAGAAAGGAAACTTTGACTAGTTTCACAAGCAGAATGATTTTGAATACTTAACTCTTATTTTAAATAGCAACTTTCTTCCCATTTGTCTGCTTTCATGATGGAAATGTTTCCTTTTAAGATTATTTATGAATTCAAGCAAGTGAAACATTGCTTTGCTTACAAGATTATTCCATAAATTGCTATTGTTTTGCAAGGGTCTGTTACAGCTTGTGCAAGCAAACCGATGTAGCTTGGTCACCTGCAGCTCTATATAGCTGTGGAAAGCATGGTAACTCACTGCAGCCTGCAGAACCCACTCAAGACATAAACAAACATTTGTAAGTAACTCCCTTTCTAGCAAAATCAAAGATAAAATTAGGGATGTCATGATGATGGGGATGATCATTGTTGTTAACTATTAGCTGTAATCTTCTGTGAGTATGTAGAAGAAGCATTAATATAAATTTGAAAATATTTAGCAATAGCTTTAATACCCTGTTACAGAATATTTTCAAATATAGATGACATTAGATGCTAACTAAGTCAGGATGTTGAGGATCATTTGTAAAGAGCGAAACCTTCTCTAACTAGCAGAAGAAAATCAACCTGGAAGAAGTGCTTGCAGCAGTGTTTGAGATCTGCTTTCTCTAGTAACAGCTACCAGTGGGAAGAGAGTCTAATTGCTAACGTGCCATGAATCTCTAACCATGTTTCTCTGATTTATTCAGAAAGTAACTTGATGTCGCTGCTTTTCTCCTAGCTTCGTTACACATGCATAACAATATGACATAATTATGGAAAATATCTGCAAATCATGATGAATAACTTGCTGATGGAGCAAGCCATGCAAAGATTTAATTGAGAGCTGGCCATTATATCATTTCATCTTCCATTGCCAGCTTTATTGCTAAATATAATACATGATTAAAATGACTGCACACAGCTTTTAAAATAAAGACCTTATCTGTGTACATTTTCAGTGCATTTTGACTTTCTAAAAGCCGGGCACTCGACTGATGTGAATTGACTCTATTGAGCTTAGTGGAGTCAGGGCAGGTTAGCTTTCCAGGTTGTCTAAAACACGGCGTGCTTGTGTGCTTGTGTGTGGTAATCGTTATCGTTATTACAGAATAATACCTGTTCACTGAGCAATTCATCTGCTTCGAAAAAAAAAAACAACAACAACAAAAAACGAGGAACTAGATTTTCCCAGAGAAGAACGAAGACCAAGCAGTGGCCAACAACGCCCTTCCAGTCTGTGGCTACCCTTCGTCATCTTACATCTTTAAAACCCTTTCCTTCAGCTGATGAACCATCTTTTTTCATGGTAATTCTTTTCCTTCTTTCAACAAACGTCACCTACATCTTAATGGAGAAGTCTAAAAGAGAAATCAAATTGTATGTGGGGAGTGTCATGGTGCATTTTCTTTCCTACCCTACTTACCATGTTATTCTTTGAATTAAGCGGCACTTTCGCTATTATGATTGTTGAGTGTAGAGACACAAATGCAGCATAATATTCTTGTATCATTTTTTTTCATTCCAGATTTAGATCTGAATAAAGTCTTTCAACTCTCTATGAATGCTTTGGAATTAGCTCTTGTTGAGATACTAATATTTGGCGTCTTACTCATTGAGAAATAATGTGTATCACTCATTTGTGAAGTTAGCTGCTGTGCTTACAAGGAGACACGCATGCAACATTTGGATTGTGCAGTGTATTTTTGATACAGAGCCATTTAGGCAAGGAAGAGTAGCTTTGGTTATGCATGATTTGGAATGTTTTATTAAATTGAATATGTATTCTAATAGCAGAGAGACACTTGCAAAAATGCATGGACTCCAAGTGCTTGTTGTTTTGGACTGAAATGTTTCTTTACAATTTTGGGTTGATCAAGCAGTCAGTTTTCTGTGCTCTACATTTCTCCCTCTGCATAACAGAACCCTGTGCTTTTTTTTTTTTCTTTTCCCTCTGCATAGTATAGGATTATAAATTAGTGGAGAAAGCTGCAATAATAAGTCCACAGGAAGGATGTGAGCACCACAGTTTAAGTAACTTGTGATCTTCCCAAGCAGCTCCCCACTAGCACAAGGGGAGAGAGGTGGGTGAAGTAAGTCGCTGCAATAGGTTAAGTTAAGCAACATGATTCCTCTCATAAACACTTAAGATGTTTTATTTTTATTTTAAAGCAGGAAAGTTCTTCAATGCTGCTTGATGGATCTCTTATCTAACCAGATTAAAAGGGATCTGTAAACTACTGAATTTGCTACAGCTAACCCTCATGTTGCCATGCCTGTGTTTGTGGGAGCAAGGAGTCGCACTTGTGCAACTGCTTGAGACCCATGAGCATGCCAGAGCATCAGCTTTTGTGGGGTGCCTGCCTGTTCTTTGTTTCCACAGACTGGGCGAGGGAAGCACATGTCTCCAGTGTAAATGAGGAGCTGGACACCAGTTTCCTTCACTCACTTCAGGCGGGATGTGGCTATGCTGTACTTGGCAATTCTGTGAATAAACCAGCACTCTTGATCAGAGAGCGTGACAGAGCACTGGAACAGGCTGCCCAGAGAGGTTGTGGAGTCTCCTTCTCAGGAGATCTTCAAAACCCACCTGGATGCCACCCTGTGTCACGTGCTCTAGGTGTCCCTCCTGGAGCAGGGGGGTTGGACTAGATGATCTCTAGAGGTCCCTTCCAACCTCAACCATTCTGTGATTCTGTGAGAGAGGTTTCTCTCAAATACATATGTCTCTCTGACATGTATTGCATTTATAAACCTAGTGCCAGGCAAGTGTCACTTCAGATGAGATGATTAAGACACAGAAGATGCAGATCTGCATAAAACCTTCCAGAGTGTGATGGGCAGCAGAGCTGGAACTGGGAATTCAAGTGACTTTTCTCCAGGTTGTGATTGTATCAGCCTAAAATCTGTATGTAGATTACCTGGATGTCTTACTCTTCCATTAGGGTTTCTTTCTAAATCTGGTTTGGTTCAACAAGCTGTGTTGACCTTTTTGTACTTCTTGCTAGTTTTACTTGGAAGTAGAAATAAAAGTAGAGGAGCATGTGGAGGAAGGAGCTGATGTGAATCAGCTGGTTTATTTTGTCAACACCAGTCTTATTTATTTTATTTTATTTTATTTTATTGTTATTAATGCCTGGTTGGAATTATCGCACAGTTTGTGATTCATTTCAGTTTTTGTTCATACCAGGCTGCCTGTGAAAACTCAGAGTTGAAGGCAAAGAATTACAGTAGTGTTCATTGCTTCATGCATGAGATAAAGACAGTAAAGAAAACTGTGATAAGATTATTTATTTTTCTTAAGTACCTGTTGTGGTGTTGACACACAATGCTTCAGAATTTATAAAGTATTCTGAAATCTTTCCTCAGAGAGTGTTTGTAGCCCTGCAAAATATTAATCTTTTTTTACTGCATACTGCTAGATCCCTGCTTGCAGGCTGCTTACAAGGAAATTCAATCAGCTGTCATCATTTCTTATATGTAAAATCCAGGGGAATTAAACTCTTTCTAAAATATTCTTTTTAAAGATCAACAGATAAGAATCTTAGTAGAATATTTTGAAAATCAAGTTAAATGCATATTTTTGTTTGAAACAGCTTTTTAATTGTTTCAACTGTTGTGTTTATAATTAAGTACTTTGGTTTGAATTACTTACCTGTGCCCAAAGGGGGCAAAACACCATCCAGGCTGACAGTATTACCAGGTCCAAGGTGTTTTTTTTTTCTTTTTTCTTTTTTCTTTTTTTTTTAAGAAAAAGCTGTTGCCATTTCCACAGCCATAATTCAGACTTCTTGTGAATTTTCTGTAGAGTTTGCGCCAAACAAGTTAAGGAAAGGTAGGAAGAATGTGAAACAGAATCTGTTATGTTAAACCCTGCATAGATATGCCTGTAAAATGGTAAAACATGCATTTCTTCCTATGTTATTCTTTACCACTTGGCAGTTTCACTCCTCAGATTTGCTAGTATGTATGATTTGCTTCATCAGTGTAACCTGAGAAGGAAAATACTGTGTTTAAC